GCAGGGTCCTGTGTTGCTCCTCCACGAAGAGGGGGAGCGACATAGTGGTGCCGTGACTCGGATATGAAGCCTAGGCAGGGCTTAGTGTTGCTCCTCCACGAAGAGGGGGAGCGACATAATGGTGCCGTGACTCGGATAGGAAACCTGACTCGGATAGAAAACCTAGGACGGATAGGAAACTTAGGACGGATAGGAAACCTAGGAGGGAAGAAACGGGAAGAACTGGGAAATTACCGGAGAGAGAGACTAGCAAACAGCCTAGGGAAAAGCCGGACGAAAAGGGTGCCGGAAGAAGCTATTGAAAGCCTAGGCATAGACTCAGATACGGACTACGGGGGGAAGCTGGGAGAAATCTCTAAGGTCGAAAGCGAAAGTGAAAGCTAGAACAAACAGACTCGGATGCGGACTGTGGGGAGAGGCCAGGAGAAATGAGGGAGGAATATTGTTGGAAGAAAGCTTGGGGAAACATACCGGGTAGAGAAAAGTGTTAGGGAAATTGAAGCCGCGGGGGGCAGGCTGAGGCTGAAACGAAAGCCACTTTGGGGTTCTCAAGTTAGCCCGGGAATGGGGGGCGAAAAGTTGAAACCAGAAGCTGACACGTAGGCCAGGTTGGGATCCGTCTGATTAGCCCGGGGAGCAAAGGACGGGAAGCCAAATCGTGGGGCGGAGATGTATGCTGGGTTGAATTCGCCAGGCTAGCCCGGGGAACTTAGATTGAATGATAGTGGCGGACACGTAAGCTACGCTGTGTTACTCGCGGAAGCCGCCGCGTGCAGAGAGAGCACGGGGCGTGAATAGATAGGGAACGGGGCTGGCGAGGCCGTGGTTCAGACGCGAAAGGGTTAAGTGCGAGACCGCGGAGCGCGCGAAGCCAAGCCGCGCAAAGCCGAGCCGCGCAGATGAGGCGCGCGGGCTGAAGCGGCGCAGAGCCGGGAACCCGCCGGCGGGGCGAGGTGCCGGAAAGCCGCAGGGATAAGAGAAACAGAAGTTTGGAAGTGAAGTAAAAGAGAAATGGGAATGCTGGAAGATAGAAGTGAAATGGGAGAGGTAGGAATGCCCGGAGATAGAGAAATAGAGAAAAATAAGGCCTCCCCTCAACATGCCAATTAGAAGGCTTGGATTCGGTCTGCCTAATCAAGTGAGGCGATGAGCACCTGCGGGCAGCTAGCAGCTTATGCGCTGCAGGTCACCGAAGACAGGCACGAATTAACATCAGTAAGGCTTCCCCACAATACAACAATATTAAGCTTGGATTCGGTCTGCCTGATTTAAGGCGGTAAGCGCCAGCAAAGCTCGACCAGAGTATGAGCTGCAGGTCACCGAAGATAGGCACGAACCAACACTAATAAGTCTCCCCCACAATAAGGCAATGAGAAGGCTTGGATTCGGTTTGCCTGATAGGTTTTGTAAGCCCCTGCGGGCAGAGCAGAGCATGCGCTGCAGGGCACCGAACACAGGCACGCATCAGCGCCTAAAAACCTCCTCACAATTGCGAAGAGAGGACCCGGATTCGGTTTTCCTGATTGATAGGACTTGTAAGAGCCTGTGGCAACGCTAGCAAGTAGAGCAGAGTGTGTGCCGCGGGACACCGAAGACAGGCGCGTATCAACGCTAAAAAATAAAAAGAAAGGGGGATCTGTGGGGAGCAATCCGGACTAGACTAAGTTACTCGAATTAGGACTTATTCTATGCATCTGCTCTCCCACAATATGGCGCTGGGAGAGAAGTAAACAGCTTCCGCACAGCTGCCTCCAGTTCAACCAATTAACTGTAGGACTTGCTCCTGATTGGAGAGCAGCGTACTCAGCCGAGTTAGGATTGGCGGAGGAGGACTATAAAGGAGGAGAGAGACGGCATGCACCGGGAACATCTATGGGGAACATCTAAGGGGAACATCTAGCTGAAGGAACACCTGCGCAGCCCCCGAGAAGAGCCGGCCGGCGGTGTGCCGCTCCCCTGCGGAAGTGGGGAATGTGGCCAGGGGGAACTGCCCTTCCACGGAGGTGGAAGGGATGGTGGCCGACCCGGGAGGAACCAGCAGCAAACCCGGGGAGGGCCGAGCAGACGAAAGAACAGCGCAGGGTCCTGTGTTGCTCCTCCACGAAGAGGGGGAGCGACAAGGATCTTTCATTTAGATTGTTTTTTGCCACCGTGTCATGGCTTTCCATGCCTGTGAGACTCTCATGGACCTTTTAGCCAGATCTGAATGTCCCAAGGGTTGATTCTGAGGCAGGAGTGCTGCCACTCTATGAGTCTGCTGTGTGTCCTGTTTCCCCCGCAGGATCTTTCTCTCCCTTTTAATTCTATCCTTCATTATTTGCTTACATAGACCAGCTTTTTGAATTCACATTTCCATTCTGGCATATGGTTCAGAACATCTTTTGATATGATTATTTGCCAAATATGTGTCTTCTTCAATGAGGAAGAGCTCCATTAAGGTCTTTGGGACATTTTTTAATTGGGTTGTTTGTGTCCCTTTTGCTGATTTTTAAGAGGCCTTTGTGTATTTTTAATAGTAGTCCTTTATCAGATGTATCTTTTGCAAATATTTCCTGACAGTGTGTGACTTGTCTCATTTTCCTGAGAGAATGCCTATTAATTTTAATTAAATGCAAAGATCATTGAAAATCTCATGTAACTTCTCTGTTATCTGGACTAACTTTGGTTCTAAACATTCATTTATTTTAGAATCATTTATTGTGCACCTGTTATACTTACTAAAGATCCCAAGTACTCAATTACAGTGGACTGTGACTACTCAGAATCAAAGCATCTGTATAATAACAGCAAATTGAATTCATTGAGTTTACTTTTGTTGATACACAGCATCCAATCACCAAATAATTTAAGAGATATCTGAGAATTAAATTTTTCAGCTCTAGCATATTTGGAGTGTCTCCTTTGATATATTGTAGTTATAAGCCATGGTGCACTCTCAAGAAATGTTTACAATAATGAAGAAGATAAACCTATTATAAAATAAATAGGCAGTGCAGTATGATGGAAAAAGCACTGGATTGAGAGTCACGACTGCTACGAACTAGCTGTATGACTTTGGAGAAATAAGTTCATCAGTCACCTTGACCTCAATTGCAACTTTGGTAAAAATAAAGTGATTAGGCTAGAATCTCTAGACAGTAACTACTTAATTGCTATTTGTACAATAACCATTATGAGTATTGAGGGTTAGTGCAGCCCTACTTTTGGCTGGATAGCAACTATAGTCAGAGTGATTGGAAGAAAAAGATTGGATATTTCCAAACTGACTTTCTAACTTGGAAGAAACGTGTTATAATGTAAAGGAAAACAGGATAAATAGAGCAGTGAACAATCAAGCCCATGCTTGAAGATTTTTGCTTGGTATTTTTTCATGTACTTCAAAATGATTTAGGAGCAGTATTAATTAATTAATTAATAATTAATTAAATAAATAACCTGATTAAATGGAGGGGTTTTTGTTAATTTATGTATTTATTTGAAATTCAAATCTACAGAGAGATAGGGAGAGAGAGACAGAGAGAGAGCGAAAGAGAGAAAGAGAGAGAGAATCTTCCAATCTGTTGGTTCACTTCCCAGATGGCTGCAGTGGCCAAGGCTGAGCCAGGCAGAAGCCAGGCACCAAGAGCTTCTTCTGGGTTTCCATGTGGTTGTCAAGGGCCTGAGCACTTGGACCATCTTCCACTTTTTTTGCCAGGCCATTAGCAGGGAGCTGGATTGGAAGTGGAGCAGCCAGGATCCAAACCATTGCCATATAGAATGCCAGCATTGCAGGGAGTGGCTTTACCTGCAATGCCACAACACCTAAATGGAGGTTTTTTTTTTTAAAGATTTATTTTATTTGAAAGACAGATATAAGGATGGGGGGGTAGAAAAAAGAGAGAGAGAGGTCTTCAATCTTCTGATTGCTGGTTCATTACCCTAATGGATGCAATTGCCAGTGTCGGTGGCAGAAAGCCCAGTACTTGGGCCATCCTCTGCTGCCTTCCTAGGCATATTAGCAATGAGCTGGATGGGAAGCAGAGCAACCAAGACTCGGACCTGAGCACATCTCAGACAGCAGTTTAGCGCTCTACACCACAATGCTGTGTCCCTAAATGGAGGTTTAAAGAAAGGATGGGGCCAGCGCTGTGGCGTAGTGGGTAAAGCTACTGCCTGCAGTGCCAGCATCCCATATGGGTGCTAGTTCGAGTCCTGGTAGCACTTCTGATCCAGCTCTCTGCTATGGCCTGGGAGAGGAGTGGAAAATGGCCCAAGTCCTTGGGCCCCTGCACCCATGTAGGAGACCCGGAGGAAGTTCCTGACTCCTGCCTTTGGATCGGCGCAGCTCTGGCCATTGCGGCCATCTAGGGAGTGAACCAGTGGATATAAGACCTCTCTCTCTCTGACTCTGCCTCTCTGTAACTCTGACTTTCAAATAAATAAATAAAATCTTTAAAAAACAAAAGGAACGAAGGGAGGGAGGGAGGATATATCAGTACTCCCCTGAGATGCCTAGAAGCTCTGCTCTGTGGTGACTGCATCCCATCCCGTTAGAGCACTGCCATCAGCCACTCCTGCCATTTTTCACTCTAAAAAGAACAGGATGGTGATACTCTATTTCCTGTCTTGGCTGACATTCTAGTATTCACTTAATAGTTGTTTGATTATGTATATGCTTTGTGCACTTTCTACACATCTGAACATTTTTTTAAAATTATTTTAAGGTACATACGGCACTAATGTCCTAAGTGATACACCACAAAATTTTTAAATTGAGAAGATCTGTGTGAGTACTAATTTGATTCTGGCAAGTAAAATACATTTTCTGATGGATTTAATTTATAAAGCAGACGGGAAAGAATCCTTTGAAGGACAAATACCTTGTGTGCCTCCGGCCAACAAGGACACAATACTTCCTCATTGTTGATCATGAAAAATAACACATACTTTCTAAAAAATAACATTCCAGTGAGTCACCTATTTCCACATGCAGGGCTGAGAAACCCTATAAATTTCTCCCACCGCTAGCAGAAACCACCACACCAACCATAGGTCAGAGAAAATCATCCTGATGGCAGCTTTGCAGCTTTTCCTGCTGGGTGCTGTGTGTCTGCTGTCCAGCAGCCTGGCCCTGCCTCTGCTCCAGGAGGCAGGAGGCATGAAGGAGCCACAGTGGGAACAGGCTCAGGTATGTCACGGTCCACTCACCCGGGGCTCTGTGGTCTCACCATCAGCACTAGATGTGTGTGTTCCAGTTACTTCTCCTTCCATGTTCGTTTTGGCAATGAATTTTCTTTTTTAACATGTATCTATTTATTTATTTGAAAGGGAGGGAAAGAGAGAGAGAGAGAGAGAGAGAGAGCAATCTTCCATTTTGTGGTTCACTTCCTAAATGTCAGCAACATCCAGGACTGGTCCAGACTGAAGGCAGGAGCAAGGGACTCCATCTGCATCTCCCAACTGGGTGGCAAGAACTCAAGTCCTTGAGCCATCTGCCTGCCTCCTTGGTGCATTAGTAGGGAGCTGGACTGCAAGTGGAGTAGTTGAGACCCAGACTTACACTCCATTATAGGATGCAGACCTGGGGCTGGCGCTGTGGTACAGTGGGTTAAAGCCCTGGGCTGAAGCACCGGCGTCCCATATGGGCACCGGTTCGAGATCTGGCTGCTCCACTTCTGATCCAGCTCTCTGCTATGGCCTGGGAAAGCAGTAGAAGATAGTCCAAGTCCTTGGGCCTCTGCACTCATATGGGAGACCCGGAAGAATCTCCTGGCTCCTGGCTTTGGATCGGCGCAGCTCCGGCCATTGTGGCCAATTGGGGAGTGAACCATTGGAAGGAAGACCACTCTCTCTGCCTCTCCTTTTCTCTCTGTGTAACTCTGACTTTCAAATAAATAAGTAAATCTTAAAAAAAAAAAAAAAAAAAAAAAAGAATGCAGACTTAACCCCACTGTACCACAATGCTAGCCCCTGAACTTTTTTGTTAACTTTTCTGAATATAAAGGCACTATGTGTTTTTGTCAAGTAGCCATTATAACCTGCCCAATCTGGGCTGGAGTTTGAGTTCTTCCGTTCCCTATGTAGATTGACCTGGGAATGTTATTAAAGTTCTCTAAGCTTCAGTTTTCTAATTGGGAAGTTGGAAGTAGCGATGCTAATCAATCAACTGGAAGAGTAGTAAAGCACTTAACACTTAGCACCTGAAACATTGTTCCTTCTCAATAAATTGAAATTGTATTATTATCTATCGCTACTTGACAGTCTTTTCATAAAGTGCACAGAGTGTGTCTCTTAAGGTGGGGACTACTTGTAGTGGAGAGAGTTGAAGTCCAAAGACATGAGTAGAGGTGACCGTTTTTCTAAAACCAATGATGCTAAATAAGGCATCAGTTTCTGTCTCTTTTTTCCCTTTGTGTCCAATGGAAATAATAATACTGTGTGTTTGCTACCTCACAGGATTATTCTTATGAATACATGAGGTGATAAGACCAACAAGAGTACTTCAAAAATTTATGGAAAAGTGGAATGAAAAGATAAGTTTGTTCTAGTTCTAGTGCAAAAAGAATTTTGAAATCCTTGCATGGTTTTTTCATAATAAAACTTTTTGATGACTTCTCATATGCAGTAATTACAGATTACAAAGTGCTTTTATATACACTATGTAATTAACCTTTAACTTATCCTGATAAAAAGGAGTTAGGTTGATTTACATAGTTGCTAGCAGAGGGTATAGGAATCAAGGACAAGTTTCTCTGGCTCAAAAATTATTTTCTTTCCAATATATTTCTTAACAAGCAATATAATAAGTGTAGGTAGTTATTATTTGATAAAATAATTGGATGGTAACTCATAAGTATTGTTTATAAATTTAAGCCTTAAGTATAAGAAAAATCATTTTACCTCTAATTAACTCAGACTTTTAGGAAGTCGCAATAATACAAGGGGGTCTTCAACAAGGTTGTAGAAAAGGCTTATATTGAAAAACTATGTATGGATTTTGAAACTTTTTGCATCAAAATAAACATCTTTTAATTCCATCTTTCCACAGAATGTCTATAATGCTCTCATATGTTAGCCTTAGAAAATTACTAGACATAAGAAATCACTAATATTTTACAGTGCTTCCCTCCAAACACGCAATGCGTATGGTAAGGGCTACAGCTCTTTTTTTTTGTCCTGGAAACAGGACATTTGCAGGAGCGTTTGTCTCTACTTAGTGTGCAGGTGGTCAGCACGATAGAAGTCAGCTAGGTGTAACGGAAGCCAGGCTGAGGCAGCTCAGGTGCACAGAGAGATTTCACCCAGATAGGGCCTTTGTGAAGTCTGTAGCTCTGGAAGAGATGAAATAGATCACATAAATAAGCAATTAATTCCTGATGAGCAATAAATATTTATTATATTGAATGAAACCCAAGCATTGGTAACAATAAAGAAATCGGCATTTATTTATTGGGGCTGTTGGATTCCTATCCTCATATCCAGACACTAGGATCTAAGAAATTCCCAGGAACCCAGCTGTACAGGGGATAGACCCAGGAGCGCTGCTTCATCCTGCAGCTTCCCAACGTGGATTTTCTAGGGATGTAATACTGGAAAGAGAGAAAAGGAATCAGAAGTCAGGAAACTCAAGTCCAGCTCTGCTACTACTTCACAGAGTGAAGCTAGACAAAGCATTTAGCTACTGTGAGCTTTGATTTCTCCACCTGGACAATTAAATCAAGTAATTATGCTAATCATTTCCTGGTATCCTTTTCCAGGACTAAAACTGTAAGACCCTTTATCCTTTCTCCGGGTGTAGATCTCAGCAGGATCTCAGGTGGGGCTGGTTGACTTCAGCTCTCCCTCCCACACAGTGTTTGACCAGTGTTCCCACCACACAGTGTTATGACCCACACAGTGTTGCTCTTGGAGACACACTAGGAAACTCTCCTGATTGTTCCTACAAACACATCTAGGCTTTATAAAGTGTACAGTGTGCTTCTCCTCAAAACATTTACTGAGACCAAAGAAGAATTGAGGATTTTTTTCTCTTTAACTCATGAAATGGCATGTCAGGGCTTCATTATCAATATCAAATATTCTCATTAATGCATATGTATTTTACTCAGTTACTATATAATTGTTCCATCCTCAACTTGCTGTTTGAATCCACAGGCACAGAAGCAGTAAGCACAAACTACAGATTCATTACTCTCTTTTCAATAGGACTATCTCAAGAGATTTTATTTTCATGGCTTGAAATCAAAGGAAGTCGATAGCTTAGAAACCAGACTGAAGGAGATGCAGAAGTTCTTTGGCCTGCCTATAACTGGAAGGTTAAACTCCCACCTCATAGAAATAATGCATAAGCCCAGATGTGGTGTACCAGATGTTACAGAATACTCACCACTCCCAAGCAGCCCGAAGTGGACTTCCAGAGTAGTCACCTACAGGTTAGTTTTACTTTGGCTCATTTTGGCAAAAATAATAAAGCTCTTTTCCTAAGAGATCAAATATTGTTTTCTTGTTGCCATAGGATCGTGTCATACCCATTTCCTACTCAAAATTTATCACCTGTCAGAGTGGACCAAATAGTGGCAAAGGCTTTCAACTTGTGGAGCAAAGAGATTCCACTGCATTTCAAGAGACTCCGGTTGGGAATTGCTGATATCATGATTGGCTTTGCCAGAGGAGGTAAGGAAGATTCCTATCGACTATTTTATTTCTTCATTGTTGATATCAGTTGTCTCTTCTTTTCAGGATTTAAAATCTTTAATACATTTTTGTGTGTGCATGTGTGAGGTTACTTCAAAAAGTTTGTGGAAAGATGAAATTAAAAGATAAGTTTAGAAGCAGGTGTTTCCTGCAACAGTTAAGATGCCACTTGGGATGCTCACATCCTATTTCTGAGTATCTGGGTTCAAGTTCTGGTTCTTCTCTCCATTCTAGTTTCCTGCTAATGCATACCCTGGGAGACAGCAGGTGTTGGCTGAAGTAGTTGGGACACTGCCACCCACCTGGGAGATTCAGATTTACTTCCTGGCTGTTGTAGACATTTGAGGGGTGACTCACTCTCACATACACACATGCTCTACCTTTCGAATAAATAAAATAATGAAGCTTAAAATTATTTAAAAGATACACTTATTTTTGTGCAGAAAATATTTGAACCGTGCATTATTTTTGCATGATAGGCATTTTCCATGAAACTTCCAAAGGCTTCTTATAGGCACAGCTTTCAAAAATCTTTTGCATCAATATAAATTTGTCTTTTAATTTCATTTTTCCACAGACTTTTTGAAGTATCCTCATATTTTGCAATATTATTATAATTTTTTCTAGTCTGTTAACTTAGAGCAACTTTTTATAGCAGGAGTTGGCAAGCCACAATTCATGATCCAAAGCCAGCCCACCATCTGTTTTTGTAAATAAAGTTTTATTGGAACAGAGCCATGATCCTTCATTTAGCTGTGTCTATTACCACTTTCAGAGAGGGTACAGTTGTGGCAGATATCATCAAGTCCACAAAGTTACTTGTTATCTGCCCTTTACAGAAAAAGTATGCCAACTCCTATTTTATAGCATGATTCAGTTTAAAATATGTCTACTAATATCAACAGTAAACCAGGAAAAAGGGCTACAGCTCCCAAAGGTCTCAAGTGACCCCCAAGAAGTAGGACAGTGTCTTTGGCTTGTTGCCAGTACTCTCATTAGCAACAAAGTAGAGCTCCGACACTTGTGTAGTGAAGACTTACGGAGACAATACACATACACTAGAGTTTCATGGTACAAATCTGGAGAAAAATATTGTTAATTTTGGTCTCTTCTTATATGGAACCACCCAAGTACTATGAATTTAGCTGACATTTCTACTTGAGCCTATAATATTAACGACACCAGAGAAAAATATCACAGAAAGCACTAATCACAGAACACATTTTTAAAGACCAGGACAGACTAGATGCAGACTGATACCAATTTGAAGATAAATATCCCTGTATCACCAATAAGACTATCAAAATCCCCTTTAGAGATGTTTAGCATGGTTCTCCCAGGGACTGTTTATAAAAATCAGTTCAATTTTTAAGAAACAAAATATGAAGTAGTTTACAAATCACTTTCCAGATGCAATACTCATCATCACTCTTCCTCCTGTCACTATTTGACCAAGCAAAGTGATTGAATTGAACAAACACTTTAATGCAGCCATACATTAGATAGCAATGCATTTAAATCCATCATCCAGTAAGCCTTTAATAGTGGTGGTCATCAGTGTTTGCCAAAGACGAGTGCCTGTGCTAAATAAGCACCTAAACCATGCTGGCTCTGCGATTGGCTGCTTGATTGTACAAATGATGCTGATGACTTGCACTGGGCTCCTCTTTTTTTAATATTTATTTATTTATTTTGAAATAGTGTGAGAGAGAAAGAGATCTTCCATCCACTGGTTCACTCCCCAGATGGGTGTAATAGCCAGGACTGAGCCAAGCCAAAGTCAGGAGCCAGGAGCTTCTTTCAGGTCTCCCTTGTGGATGGTAGGGGCCAAGTTCTTGAACCTTCTTCTACTGCTTATCCCAGGCAATGAGCAGGCAGCTGGATCAGAAGTGAAGCAGCCAGTACACAAACCAGTACCCCTATGGGATGCTGGCATCACAGGCAGTGGCTTTATCCGCTACGCCACAACACAAGTCCCTGGGTAGCTCTTTCTAGATTCGATAATCATATAAACTGAAAATATACTAATTAGAGAAAAATTCAGTCACGAAGCGCAATCACCCCCATTTTCTTGCAGCTCACGGGGACGCTAGCCCCTTTGATGGACCAGGAAACACACTGGCTCACGCCTTCCCACCTGGGCCCGGCCTTGGAGGAGATGCTCACTTTGATAAGGATGAACACTGGACCGACGGTAGCAGTTTAGGTACAGCATCCAATGTCTCTTGTACCTTTGCAAAATCCTGGTATTAGATCAAATTTAATTTAGTAATTGCTTTAGTTTATAAGAATTACTGAACCCTTGCTAAGTGCCCACCACTTTATATATAAAATATATATATATGTATACTTTAAATACTCTATCTCACATAACGTACTCATAATGCAGTATATAGAGATAAGGAAACTCAGTCTTTGGAGTCCAGCAGCACCAGGTTCGATGTGCTGAACTTCTGCAATGACTTCCTGTGTATCCTTGGGCACATTATTTGACCTCACTGAACCTCAGTTTCCTCATCTGTGAAATGGAACTATTACTATGTCCCAAATCAAGGGTTGATGCTTAAATTAAATTAGATTATGTAGATACAGTAGTTAACACAGTGCTTGGACTATATTAATAGTTCAATAAATTATAGTCATTTCTTCATATTTCCCAAAAATAAGTGTCTCAAATAGAGGAGGAAGGGAGAGCAAGGACTATTGCTATGCAAGAGTTATGTACAATATTGGAATTATATCCACCTGTTCAAAAAGAACTAGTTCCATGACTCAGCCGATCATGTTCATCACTTAACAAAGTAAGGCATTATAGAACATCAAAGAACTAATTGTGAGGCATTCTGGTTTAAATAATTCTAATTAGAGACCGTTGTTTTATTGTTATTTATTTGTGAGGCGGAGAAATAGAGAGAAACCTCCCATCTGTTGGTTTTCTCCCCAAATGCCAAAAACAGAGACGCCTGGGTCAAACCATAGCCAGGAATTCAATCTGAGTCTCACAGAAAGGTGGCAGGGACCCAAGTACTGGGGCCGCCACCTGCTGCCTCCCATGGTGCACACTCTCAGGAAGCTGGACCCAGGAGCACAGGCAGGGTTCAAACCCAGGTCCTCTGTCCCATACAGGATTTGCACCTTCCAAGAGGCATCATAACCACCAGGCCGAACAGTGACTCTTAGAGACAATTGTTTTTAAAGAAAAGAAAAAGAAAAGGCTGCTAACTGGCCCTGAAAGACAAGCTAGTCTTTATGTTTGGCAAAGGGAATCTAATAGAATTTGAACGAAGTAGCGATGCCTTGCTGTGAGTATGTAGCCTATGTAAAATTGTGATGCATCTCCCTTTTGCATCCTGCATAGTGTTCTCATTCTCTCTTTCCACTCACAATAAATTAAAGGCAGCTTCATTCAGTCTAATGCAACACAACCAGAGCCCTGGAGACTCCTCAAACTCACAGGCTCACGCCTTCCCCCTTACCTGTAAAGCGTTTCTGTAAGTCTGAAAGAAAGAGAGAAAAAAAGAACATATGAAGGTATTTCAAAAGGTTCATGGAAAGTGGAATTTAAAGATTAGTTTATTTTGGTGTTACAAATTTTGAAATCCATGCCTGCTTTCAGAATGGACATTTTCCATGAACATACTGAAGGTCCCTCATATGTAATATGATTTCATGAATCAAAATCAAACACAAACCCAGTGTTGCCTGGGGCTCCTGCCTTTCAGTCTTGGCTTTCTCAAAGTCAACTTTCTCTCTTCTGACATTCAGAGTCACTATTATTTATTGAATAGCCATTATTTTCTAGGTTTTGGGAAATATAGTTATGACACATCTCCAGGTTAGGAATTCTTGCCTCTGTTCAACAGATGAGGAATTGAGACCCAGCAATGTTAATTATTATACCCAGTGTGGTCCAACTAGGAAGTACAGAGCTATGTTTCAAGCCCTGGTCTTAATGCTTTCAAAGCTTTTGCTTTCCACCATAGAGCATGATAGCCTGGGTGATTACATTAGAAGCAAGAAAGTACAAAAAATCATTGTTTTCAGAAATAGAAATGGTGACGAGTTGAAAGCATTATTATTCTGATTCTCCATCTCACTCCTCCCCATTTTTGAAGGCCCAAAAACAAGTAAACCATGGGGAATTGAAAGTTGGGTTTTATATTATTATATTACATATGTTGCATATTAAATAAGGTATTATAGTATTCACATAGCTATTTTTGTAGTTACTCTATGTCCTGTCTTTGATTATAGGAATTAACTTTCTGTACGTGGCAACTCATGAACTTGGCCATTCTTTGGGTCTGGATCATTCCTCAGATCCAAATGCTGTGATGTATCCAACCTATGAACATGTGGATTCCCAAAATTTCAAACTTGGACAGGATGATATTGAAGGCATTCAGAAGCTATATGGTAATATTTATGATTTCAAATAAGGGACAATTCACATTTTCTCTTTAGACTAGACCTGGAAGAGAAAGACTGTGAATGGGCATCTACATAGAAAACCACACTGGAACTTACATCTAAAAGTCAATTGAGGGGGAAAATGTGGGACCCTAATAGTAGAAATTTAAATAAGTTACTTTATACTACAAGGATGCTGATTTTAGGTTTCAGCAAGACAGCAACATGTGGGGAAATTAAAAAATAACACTAAAGGTTGTTTTATATATTTTAAAGTTATTTTACTTTAATTTTTATTTGAAAGGCAGATAGAAAAAAGAGAGAGAGAGAGAGATCTTCCATCCACTGATTGACTCCCCAGATGCCCACAAAAGGCCAAGCTGAAGCCAGGAGCCTGGAACTAGATCTGTGTCTCCCACTTGTGTGGCAGGACTCAAATACTTGAGCCATCACCTGCAGCCTCCCAGCATGTACATCAGCAGGAACCTGAACCCGAAGCAGGCATTCCGATCTGGGATGTGGGCATCCCGAGCCACCTCCTAACTACTATACCATACACCTGCCCCTCAAGATTCTTTTCTAGCTGCCACTAGCTGCTCTTCCTAACTCAATTCAAATGTTGTAGGAGAGACCAAAGGAACTTGGACCTTCCTCCATGGAAGCTCACTCTAACACATGATTTAAAATGACCCAAATTTTATTGCTGATATATACCTGTGAAGAAAGGGGTTAACTATGGATAACAATTGCTAGTAACTGCCTGTCACTATGCTTAGGAAAACCCCATAACCCAATCTACACTTTTGTCTTACTCAAGTTCCATATTCAGTTGAAGAAAATATGCTGACCTGTAGTTGCTTGATCAAGTCTTTCAGAAATAGTATTTGATAAAGGAATCAAAGGACAAGATATAAAGGTATAGGTATAGGTATAGGTATAGGTATAGGTATAGGTATAGAGATAGAGATAGAGATAGAGATAGAGATAGAGATAGAGATAGAGATAGAGATAGAGGAGATAGAGATATCTCCTTGGATAAAGATGAGAAAAATAAGGTTCAAAGAGTCTAGGTGAATTGTCTGCCATCATGTAGCTGCCAGGTACTTAAACAATGATTCCAAGTCAGGGCTGTGTGACTTCATACTCTTTCTTTCACATATCCTTGCCTACCACTATCTAGTAAGCATTTAAAAGCAGTCTGGAAGTGGGTGCTGTGGCACAGCAGATTGAGTTGCCACTTGGGACACCCAAATCCCATGTTGGGGTAGCTGGGATCAGCTCCCACCCCTGCTTCCAACCAAACTCCCTGCTAATGCATCTGGGAAGAAGCAGATGACGGCCGAGATACTTGGGTTCCTGCCACACATGTGGGAGACCTGAAAGGAGTTCCTGGATCCTGGCTTCAACCTGGCCCAGCCTGGCATATTGCAGGCATTTGAGGAGTAAACTAACAGACGGAAGATCTCTCTCAGCGCATCTCTCCCTCTTTCTCTCTGTCACTCTGCCTTTCAAAAATATGAATGTTAAATAAATAGAAGTTGGACAAGAAAGCATATAATGACATGCTTAAATTGGAAGATATAGTTAACTCTGTCGCTCCCCGTCTTCGTGGAGGAACGACACAGGACCCTGCGCTGTTCTTTTGTCTGCTCGGCCCTCCCCGGGTTTGCTGCTGGTTCTTCCTGGGTTGGCTACCGACCCTTCCACCTCCGTGGAAGGGCGGTTCCCCCTAGCCACTTTCCCCACTTCCGCGGGGGAGCGGCATACCGCCGGCCAGCTCTCTCGGGGGCTGCACAGGTGTTCCTTCAGATAGATGTTCCTGGTGCATGTTGTCTCTCTCCTCCTTTATAGTCCTCTTCCGCCAATCCCAACTCGGCTGCCCACACGCCGAGTATGCTGCTCTCCTCCAATCAGGAGCAGGATCAGCTCCTGGAGGTCATCACTCAAGTTGGCAAGAGGCAGCTGCGTAGAAGCTGTTTTCTCCTCTCCCAGCGCCATATTGTGGGAGAGCAGATGCATAGAATAAGTCTTAATTCCAGTAACTCAGTCCAGTCCGGGTTGCTCCCCACAAACTCTGTGCAGCAAAATATCAGGATGGTAAGAAGACACTGCAAGAATACACAGGAGGCTCTGAATGATCCAAGAGCAATGAAATTGCTCCCCCAATATTGATCACTGTCTCTGGGGGAAAATCATCCCTATAGGATGATGAATTTAAGCTATCAGTTGAATCAATAATTTACTACAAATCAGCATTTCCCAAATTGTGTTCCCAAAATGGCGGTCCTTCAAGGCAATTCTCAAAAATCATGTCACAGAGAAAAAAAGTTCAATAAATGCTACCAAATGTGTGTCAGGTTCACAGACTATTTAACAGAACTGAACAAACACTGTTTAACTCAGTGTTTCATAAACTACAATCCTTTTAATGAAACACTCATTGAGATGCACAAAATAACATTTTGAAGAACACATTTTGAAAATGATATTAATTGCACATTCAAGATCCAACTTAACTATTCCTGATAAAGTTATCACCAGAGAAACAGAAAATACTCCCTCTCCTTATTTAAAACATTGGGACTCACAGAATACTCTACAGCATTCTATAACTATCTTAGCACCTTAAGAAAAATATATGGGACTATAGAAAATTCTTCTGAAGCAGACAATTGAAAACAAGAAAACACACCAGTGCATTAAATCCTCAAGTATTAGAAAAAGAACTTGCCCTAGTCATAGTTGGGAAGAAGTAATTTATGGGCAAATTAAAATATGATTTTTATTATGTAGGTTATAAATTTAGGGAGTTCATTATGCCAAAATGTAATATGAGCAGAAAACATAGATTTTTTAAATTCTGTAAAACTCATGGATGCAAAGTTCTCAATGATCTTTTAAGAATAAGAATAAGAATAAGAATAAGAATAACAGCTAAAATGTATTGAGTACTTACAGTGGACCAAGCCCTTCACAGTAACTCTTTGAATGCAGTGATCCAATCAGATCTTACTATTCTCATTTTACAGATTGGTAACCAGCTCCAAGAGAGGTTACGTAGCAACTTATCCAAGGTCACACAGCTGGGAAAAGAGAGGAGACAGGATGCAAAGGTGGTCTGGGCCCCAGGGCCCACACCCTAGCTAATATCGACCTCTTAGTCTTTGGAGGTTGTTCTTTAGAATCTTTGTCCCAGGCAAAGATAGTTGGGGTGAGTGAACGACAGGTTATACATACTGTGACATCTCTTGTTTGTATAGACTTAAAATGATTTCTCTGCCTTTTATACCAAGTCAGAATATTCTTATTTTCCTTCCTAACAGGGGAGAGAAGTGATTCAAGGAAGAGATAGAAACTTCAGGGAGAACTTCCAATCGTTCAATGGGTTCTACATCAGTGTTCCCCAACCAAAAGTAAAAAACATCATTCCTGCACTCCACTTAGCACTTAGTTCATTCTTTCTTGGATGGCAGTGGGTTTTGCATGTCTTTCACTCTGAGGATAAACTCCTTTATGGAATGACTGTGCCTTTACACATATATGACTCTTATCTAGCAACTTGCAATCAGTAGATGTCAATTAATGTAATATGCACAATGAAGTAAAATTTTTATTCTCTAGAGAAATTCGTATGGGAGCACTTTTCTGTCGCTAGAGAAAACATGCTATTCACTGAATCAAAGACTAGAACAAAAAATCACTGCATTATTTTGGGTTCTTCAGTTGCACCTCATCCTAGCACCAAACAGGGAATGTGGAAGTCCCACCTGCTTAATTGTTTACTTGTGTAGCCCAAAGTTATACTGACTTGCCTTTATCCTTTTGGGTCAGCTGTCACCACGGTCACTGGGGAAGTCCAGTTCTTCCCATAAAATGTGAATTCCCAAAGACTTACAGCCTCGTAGTCACTTCCAGCTGGTGGTTTCACTGCGTGTCTCCTGCCACGGCTGCTGTCTGGATTCCCTTGCTTCTGCCCTGTCCCAACCCAGACTTCCATCTCACCCCCTTGTCCTTGACTTTCTCCAGAGCGGTCCTGTAACTGTAGGTGTTTCTGAAGATTTGCAGCAGAGGGATTTTACATTGTACAAGGACAATAAAATTGAACAAAACTAGAATTGGATCGTATTCCCAGCTTTCAAACTCTTCACCGAGCTCAACATCAGGAATTTCTCATTGGCCCCTAGCTCTGCAGGCGGCTGCTCCCTACCACACCTGTCCCCAATCCCCACCCCCATCTCTAGCCCCCATTCCTTCTGCCTGCCCCGGAAACCCTAGCAGCTCTGGCTCTCGCATTCCATACCTAGTCTCGGTAATGTGTTTCTGTGGGTGAAGCATTCTCAGCACAGGGCTTAACCTTCTAGCATGACACCGGGCTGGCAAAGCTTTCACCATTTCACTCTCCTTTCTTCCATATCCCCACTCTTTCCATACCCATGCATCTTTTTTGCTGCAAAATAGAGGGATGAGCCATTGAAATTTGCTTTCTTAGTTTTATAAAGCAGTCCCTCACACACCTCCTGAAAAGATGCATTCATTTTTTTCACATACAGCCTTTTTTTTTCACCAAAGACACATCACTATCCCCCAGCTCCGATTTACTAACACAGCCACTGGGAAGCCATCCTAGAGACAGAGCAAACGACAGGAGGATCTACACCCAAGCAAATATGAAGTATATGTGAACAGGAGTTCAAAGGCCCTCCGAAAACATAAGGGAATCTTTTTATAAGGTTAGAATGATGAGGAAGTTACAACTCTTCGAATTCAGGATCTATATTTTATAGATGACAAAACAAACCAAGAGAAGTTCAGTGATTCTCACAAAGTTCACAGTAAGCAAATGTAGCTGTGGTTTAGGCATATTTTTGCTTGTGTAACTGGGGGCAGCAGGAGGCAATTCTCTCTCACAACTGACATAGGTATCTCTTGCTGTACATGCCTCCTATTCCTTCACTGGATCTGGGGGGACAGGGAAGTGCCTCTCTCCTGTGTGTCTAATCTTCCTCACTCAGGATGTCACCTAACTCGCCCTGTCAGATATTCCCTCCTAAACACCAGAGGCTCATTCAGCCTGGCTGAATAGATGGGGTTCTGAAAACACTGACGGTTCAAATCTGCACCCAGACAGATGCCCAGAAGCTGCTCTGGGCCCTGGCCTCCTCGGGGCTCAGGGGCAAGGCTTTTGCTCCAGCGTGTGGGAGTGAAGACCCTGGGTATCGTTTGAGTTCACCACAGTCAGCCTAAGTCTGTTGCCTGCAAATCCTTGGCGCAGGAGCTTGGCTGCCTTTCCTGCTGGGTCTGCACCTGCAGGCTCCGGTGTGTGCTTCACCACATCAATCTTTTTTTTCTCATTAAACTTTGTTTGGATGGGTCTCAAAATTCAGTGACAGGTTTTTGGTCAAGTTGTTTTCATTAAAAAGTACTGAGTTTAAAAACTAGTAAATTAAAGCCACACACACATACAAAAATGGTCCACAGAATATTCTCCTTCCTTCTGAAGGTTCTACAATGCATTGCTATCATTAACCAGTTGTTTGCTATTAAACTGAAATGGCCAATTGAGACAAACAGTTTTGAGACCATTCTTCCACCAATTAAGACTGGGGTGGCAGGTGTTCTCCACATCAATCTTTTTTTAAAGATTTTATTTATTTCAGAGGTAGAGTTACAGACAATGAGAGGGAGAGACAGAGAGAGAGAGAAGTCTTCCTTTAGTTGGCTCACTCCCCAAATGGCTGCAATGTCCGGAGCTACGCCGATCCGGAGCCAGGAGCCAGGTACCTCTTCCTGGTCTCCCATGCGGATGCAGGGGTCCAAGCACTTGGGCCATCCTCCACTGCCTTCCCGGGCCACAGCAGAGAGATGGATTGGAAGAGAAGCATCCCCGGAGCCCATATGGGATGCCACCACAGGCAGAGGATTAACCTATTGTGCCACAGCGCCGGCCCCCACCACATCAATCTTAACAGTGAAATCAAATCTAATTGAACACAAAAGTGGAATTTTCATATCCCAGTCCAAATAGCATAATGCTTGTACACAGAAAATTTTCCTAGCAAACAAGAACCTATGATCTTTTTCATAATTATGATAAAATACACAGAATGTAAAATTTGCCATTTACACTCAGTCAGTATTCTTAAGTGTATTGTAATGATTTGGCAAGAGAAAGCGCTCTGAATGGCAACACTGCAGGCATTTCTGACTGAATCACGCTTTGTTGTGCAGGCTGCCCTATATGTTGCGGAGCGCTTAGCAGGTATCCCTGGCTTCAGGGATATATGCCAGCTGAATGTCTTCAATTTTGGCAACCAAAAATATCTTCAGACATTGCCAAGGTCCCCTATGAGGAAAAGTAGCCCCCAACTGAGAAACACTGAGCTTAAGAATTTAAATTCTGTTTTAAAAAGTTCATGTGTTTATTTTCATCTATTTGAAAGGCAGACAGAGAGAGAGAGAAGGAGAGAGAGAGAAAGAAAGAGATATCTGCCTCCCCAAATGGCCACAACAGTCAGGGCTGGGCCAGGCCAAAGTCAGTATAATGCAATGGAAAAAACATTATTTTTTTGAGGCTGGCCCAGACCAACTGTTGAAGCCATTTGGGGAGTGAACCAGAAGATGGAAGATCTCTCTGTCCCTCTCTGCCACTCTCCCTTGCAAATAAAAAAATAAAATAAAATAAATCCACTTAAAAAAAAAAAAAAGAGGAAGCCTGTGAAGTGTTCCAGTAAATTTCTGGAGGACCTAACAGCCAGGAAATGAAGCATAGGGGTCTCTGCCTGTGATATGCAAAGCAACCAAAATTAGTAAATTGCCCAGCTCCAGAGAGGCTTTGAAATCTCAGCTGGAAGAGTACTAACGGCCAAGTGAACAAGATCAGAGAGTTAACTGTGTGTGTGGGTGGACGCGAGACAGTAGGCGCAGGTGTGGAGAGGAGGCTCGCTCAGCCGCCCAGCGAGCTTCTCCCAGCAGACACTAATCCAAGCCATTCTTCATGCACCAGGTCACCCTCACAAGAGCGAAGAAAGCCAGGTGAGAGACTGCAAAGCCTTGCTGTATTATAAGAAGAAAAGTTACATTGAAGAAGGCAGGAAGGAAAGGGTTGTCTGCAACCTCCCTCCAGCCCCAAGCAGTGCACTGGTGAGAGACTCAGTTCGCTCCCTCACCTGCCAGGTTCAGGGAAGAAGGGAATTGAGTTCAGATCTTTGACTTGAAACCTAGCAGCAGGCCTGCTACAGTGACCTGCACCTGCACACTGAACCAGGTGGCTAAGGGACCGCCTCCACCACCCCTCCCCCAGCTTCTGGCAGCCAAAGGAGTAGGACTCTAGCTACAGGGAGTAGAGTAGGAAAGGGAGCTTAGAGTTTTGCCTTGGAGCTCAGAGGGAGGCCTGCTTCAGGGAGACCCAGCCCCAGATAGAGACCAGAAGCCCCTGTCCCCAGGCCAGTACTCTAGACCTGCCCTGGTGTCAGGTGGAGACCGGCACGCAGATTGGGCAGACATGACTTTCAGTCTGCATCACTCCCAGCCATGCACAGGCCTGGCATGCATCTGCAAGACTGTTCGGGGCCCTGAGGCTGTTGCAACAGAGCTTGGTATCAGCCTGAGCAGCCAAAGCACTGTCTTCCCCAACTCCTTCCCCAATTGAGCAGACATAGAAGACATGACTCCAGCCACTAGGGAGTAGGACACCAAAGTGAGCCGAGGACTGTGTCTTGCTAAAAATCCCATGCTGGGCAGATCCTAGGCCAGTGCCTGAGGGTGGAGCATCTGAGCTTGCGGTGGTATCAAATAGAAACTCATGACCCCAGTCAGTGGGATTTGTATCTCAGCCAGCACTACCTGTTGCTGGTTGCAGCAGCCCCTGGCAATGAGGGCCTTGCTGGTCTTGGCAGGCTCTAGGCTTCAGGTATGAGCTAGCCTTGTGCCACAGGTGGCCAAAGGTCTGCTCCTCCATTCCTTCCCCAACCCCAGGCAGCACAACCTAGAGAGTTATTGTCTGGTTGGGGAAAGAAGGTAGGTGGGTGCCTAGACACGGCATAGAAATCTGTGTTTCAGCTCTGAGGACCTGGGCAACCCCTTCAGCACTCCTGGCCATGCTCCTGCAACCCCAGACACTGAGGGCCAGCAGCCCTGCAAGTCTGCCTGCCTCGTCTTGCCCCATGGGCCAACAGTGAGACTCACACAGGCCTGGTGGGACTGAGAGGGGCATCATGCCCCCGGTGCCTCCACCATCAATTACAGCAGAAGAGAACAGAGGGAGACTACAATGCAGCATCCAGCTGGATCGACAGCCCAGCTAGCCCACCAGATCAACACCGGAAGGAAGATACACCTCCGGGAAAAGCCTTTCTACAAAAGCACTCTCCAAGGGTAAGTGCTGGACAGCATCAGATTCTCTAATAGGCAGTAAGTGGATTGCTTGCCTGTGCGAGCCCCATGTGAAGCTAAGCAGAGCCGCCATGTTTTCTTGCTCTCCTTGATCAAAAGGTAATGATGCATAAGCGCAAAAGAATGGATCTGAGTCTGGTGTTCCCTTCGGATCCTGGCTGGCTCGAGCCTGCCTGTGTGCTCTTAGCTGTGGACCATGCTTTGTTTAAAATCTCTCACTTTCTAAAGCAGAACTTAACGATACTTCCACTTCTATCCACTGGATAGTCTGTGATGACTTGGGAGTCCTTTAAATATTGAAGCATTTGGTTTCGCCCTTGACTAATGCTATCAGTTTGATCATGGAGAGCAGGGCTGGGAAGGCAAAGGCCATGAGCAGCAGAATCCCTCGCTGAGGTTCTGCAAAAGAAACAAGCCCAGCCGACAGGACTCAAGGTAGATGCAAAACAGTGCTAAGCCTCTTCCCCTCACCTGGCTGCTTTTGGAGTTTTTTTTCTTTCAGGCTCTTAAGAAAAAGATTGATCTTATTTATTTGTAAGACAGAATGACAGAAGGACACGGAGAGAGAGAGAGAGAGAGAGAGAGAGAGAGATTGATTTCCATCTGTTAGTTCCATCGCAGCCTCAATGGCTGGGACTGGGCCAAGCTGAAACCAGGAGCCTGAAACTCCATCTGGTTCTCCCATGTGGGTGGCAGGGGCCTAAGCACTTGGGTCATCTTCCACTGCTTTCCCATCTGCATTAGCAGGGAGCTGGATCAGAGACAGAGCACCCAGGACTTGAATCAGCACTTGACCATGGGATACCGGTGTTGCAGGCAGCACCGAATATCAGCCCTTACCTTTCAGTCTTGTTGTCTATTCTGAAGGATTTCCCCAACCTCAGCCTCCCCTAAACCTGCTTAGTTACCCCTCTTAAAAGTTTCTGTGGGCCGGCGCCGCTGCTCACTTGGCTAATCCTCTGCCTGCGGTGCCAGCACCCTGGGTTCTAGTCCCGGTTGGGGCGCCAGATTCTGTCCTGGTTGCTCCTCTTCCAGTCCAGCTCTCTGCTATGGCCTGGAAAGGCAGTGGAGGATGGACCAAGTGCTTGGGTCCTGCACTCGCATGGGAGACCAGGAGAAGCACCTGGCTCCTGCCTTTGGATCGGTAGCGGCCATTTGGGGGGTGTCTCTCTCTCTCTCTCACTGTCAGAAAAAAAATTTCTGTGATACCTTCTCCCCATCACTTATCACTGACTTATAACTTTCTGTCTAATTAAGGAATCTATTCTAGACTGTCAGCTTCTTAACAAAGTAGAAATTCATAGAAACTTCCTATTAAGGTTGCACTCAAATTAATAAATCATTTTAATAATTTCTAAGTTACACAATATCAAAATCAAATTATAATTAACACAAAATAGATAGCCATGAAATTTTTTTAAAAACAGAACTTTATTTGCTTTTTATAAAAATTTATGGGGCCGAGGCTGTGGTATAGTAAGCTAAGCCTCCACCTGTGGCCCCAGCATCACATGTGGGCACTGGTTCATGTCCTGGGTGTGCCTCTTCCAGTCCAGCTCTCTGTTTATGGCATGGGAAAGCAGTGGAAGATGGCCTAAGTGCTTGGCCCCTGTGCCCTCATGGGATACCCAGAAGAAACTCCTAAGTCCTGGCTTTGGATCTGCCCAGCTCCAGCCATTGGAACAATCTAGGGAGTGAGCCAGCAGATGGAAGACCCTTCTCTCTGTCTCTCCCTTTCTCGGTCTGTAACTCTGCCTCTCAGTAAATAAAATATTTAAAAAAAAAAGTATATCTGCTGCAGCCAGGACTGGACCAAGCCAAAGCCAGGAGCCTAGAACGTATCTCCTGTGTGGGTGGTAAAGAACCAAGGACCTGAACCATCACCTATTGCCTCCCAGGATGTACATTAGCAGAAAGCTAGATGGGAAGCAGAGTGGAGCCTTGAACCCAGGCACTCCACCAGTCTTGGATGCAGCCATTCCAAGAAGCATCCTTTGTTTCTTTAATATGTATGTATCTCATAAATACAACATTAGGAACATAGTAAATCTTCCCACCCTACCTGCCATCTACCATCCCACCCACTCCTTCTTTCCTCCTCCCTCTCCTGTTTAGTCTGAGAAACAAAAAGAAACAGAAAGAAAGCAAGAAAGAAATAATGCAATAAAAAAAAACTAAGAGAACTGTTCTTCAACATCATAGACAAGGGCTGTTCTATGTTCTTGCTTCTTGAAGGTGATTTCAGTTTCCCCCTCCCTCCCTTTCCTTCCTTCCTCCTTCTCCTTTCCGTTAAGAAGGTTACATTGTTTTTTTTTTTTTTTACAGAGTGGACAGTGAGAGAGAGAGACAGAGAGAAAGGTCTTCCTTTGCCGTTGGTTCACCCTCCAATGGCCGCCGTGGCCAGTGCGCTGCAGCCAGCACACCGCGCTGATCCGATGGCAGGAGCCAGGTGCTTCTCCTGGTCTCCCATGGGGTGCAGGGCCCAAGCACCTGGGCCATCCTCCACTGCACTCCCTGGCCACAGCAGAGAGCTGGCCTGGAAGAGGGGCAACCAGGACAGAATCCGGCGCCCCGACCGGGACTAGAACCCGGTGTGCTGGTGCCATCTCCTTTCCTTTTCAAAACTTAATTTTCTTTAAAGAACTCAAGGATTATACATCTTTTGTGAGCTCTTGGACATAACTATAATTTATGAGACATAATAATATCCTCCACTTAATACGTTAAAAGGAAATTATTCTTAGAACAAGTTTTACTATTAAGTCTCATGATACAACTCTTTGGGGACAGAGGTCCTGCATAGGAAGTTAGTGCACAGTGACTCTTGTTGTTTATTTAACAAGCAACACTCTTATCTATGACATCAGTGATCACCCAAGGCTCTTGACATGAGCTGCCTTGGCTATGGAAGCCTTTTGGGTCCACTAGCTCAACAAGGCCATAAGCAAAGTGGAAGTTCTCTCTTCCTTTCAGAGAAAAGTACATCCTTCTTTGGTGGCCACTTCTTCCCACTGTGGTCTCACCCACAGGGATCTTTTATGTAGGACATTTTTCCAGATTGTCTTGGCTTTCCATGCCTGAAATGCTCCCCCTGGGCTTTCCAACCAGACCAAAATGCCTTAAGGGCTGATTCTGAGACTGGAGTGTCACTTAAAGGGATTGTCATTCTATGAGTCTGCTGTATGGACTGCTTCCCATGTTGGAGCCTTCACTCCTTTTTTATTCTATTATTGTTTCCAAACAGTCCTATTTGTATGATCACTTTAACACTTGATCCTATCTATATAGTCACTTTACCACTTATTCCTATTCATTTGATCTTGATAACACTTAAGCTGTTTTTTTTTAGCCAGCTTAAGGGATTTTGGGGTCCTATAGTTGTACCCTTAGAAGTAAGTCCATAGGAATGGATGTAGGTCTATATTGCTTCACAATTGTGAACGTCAACCTTTCACAGTTACAACTTTAGGATCTTGGTAATTCTTCCCACTGCACCTACCTTCCCACCATACTTCCACCCCTCTTCCTCTTCCCTTTCATATTCTTACTCTTATTCCTTACTAAGATCTATTTTCAATTAACTTTATACATATATGATTAACTATGTTAAGTATAGCTTCAATGAATCATGAAAAAGATATGGAAAATATTACAAAGGAAAAGATAAACAAAAATATAGAATAAAAAGCTATTCCTCAACAGTCAAGAGAAGGGCTGTTCAAAATCATTGCTTCTCAAAGTGTCAATTTCATTTCCAACTATTGTCTTTTAGTTGCCCTATTAGTTGTCACAGGGCAGGGAGAACATATAGAATTTGTCCCTTTGGGACTGCCTTATTTCAATAAATATGATGTTTTCCAGTTTCATCCATTTTGTTGCAAATGATCAGACTTCTTTTTTTGTTGTTGTTGTTTTGTTTTTTTACTGCTGTGTAGTGTTCCATGGTGTACATATCCCATAATTTCTCTATTTTAAAATATTTTACTTATTTGAAAGTAAGAGTTACACAGAGAGAGAAGGAGAGGCAGAGAGAGAGAGGTCTTCCATCTGCTGGTTCACTCCTCAGTTGGCCTCAATGGCCAGAGCTCAGCCAATCCACAGCCAGGAGCCAGGAGCTTCCTCTGGGTCTTCCCACACGGGTGCAGGGGCCCAAGGACTTGGACCATCTTCCACTGCTTTCCCAGGCCATAGCAGAGAGCTGGATCAAAAGTGGAGCTGCCAGGACTCGAACCAGTGTCCATATGGGATGCTAGCAAATGGGATGTGGCTTTACCTGCTACGCCACAGCACCTTCCCCCCATAATTTCTTTATCCAGTCTTCAGTTGATGGGCATTTGGGTTGATTCCATGTCTTTGCTATTGTGAATTGAACTGCAATAAACAGGGAGGTACAGATAGTTCTTTCATGTGCTGATTTCATTTCCCTTGGGTAGATTCCCAGGAGTAGGATGGCCAGGCCATATGCTAGGTCTTTATTCAGATTTCTGAGGTATCTCCACACTGTCTTCCATAGTGGCTTTACCAGTTTACATTCCCACCAAGAGTGGATTAGGGTACCTTTTCCCACATATCCTTGCCAGCATTTTTTGTTGATTACTTTTTTTTTTTTTTTTTTGACAGGCAGAGTGGATCACCGCGCTGATCCGATGGCAGGAGCCAGGTGCTTCTCCTGGTCTCCCATGGGGTGAGGGCCCAAGCACTTGGGCCATCCTCCACTGCACTCCCTGGCCACAGCAGAGAGCTGGCCTGGAAGAGGGGCAACCGGGACAGAATCCGGTGCCCCAACCGGGACTAGAACCCGGTGTGCTGGCGCCGAAAGGCGGAGGATTAGCCTAGTGAGCCGCGGCGCCAGCCTTTTTGTTGATTTCTGTATGAAAGCCATTCTAACTGGGGTGAGGTGAAACCTCATTGTGGTTTTGATCTCCAAACAGCATCTTAACTGCTGCACCAAGTGCCCATCCCTTAAAACTTTATAAAGAAACAAAGAGGGTGAATCTGGGAAGATAGCAGCATAGGAACCATCTGCAATCTGTTGACCTCCTGGACAACAGTTGCACTGGCAAGATCTTGATATACAACTACTTCAGGACTCTAGAAATTTGGGGGTTGGTTGTTTATGTACCTTAAGTAAAATATTGATAAAAACAAACTTCATGCATTTCATATATACAAATTTAGGGATACAGCGATCCCCCACCCTACCCACCCTCCTGTCCACACTTCCACCCTTCTCTAGCCTGGAGTGAAAAACTTTAGTCAATTTCAGCACTTAGCCCAGGAGCAGCTCTTTGTCTACCCTCCATCGCTGTGGCAGGCACTTGTACCTCTGCTCCTAGAGCCCTGCACACAGCTTACAAGAGCCAGACTGGGCAAAAAGGAGCCTGTCCTCCAAATATGGGGATCTGTGCTCTGATCTCTGACTTCTGATCACAGAG